GCTTTTGTTTTTTAACCTCTTTTCTCTCAAATATACTTGTTCAAATTGTATGACCCAAAACCTATGTATTATGGTATCTCTCTATTAAAATGCTTATTAGTTTAAGCGGTCACAATTCCTAACCACCGATTAGAGATCATGATACACAGTTAACTATATAAAATTAAGACAGATTGTACATCTATAAACTAATACATGAACAAACATACATTATTAAAGCACCATAAAATATATACAACATTTCACTTATATTTTCTTGTAGAAAGTTGAAAATGTTTTTATCAACACATTCATATTCCCGTTTTACCGCGCTTACGTTACAGTAAACAGAAACTAGCCGTTAGTGCGAAAATGCTTCAAGAAAGAAGTAATTACCAAACATTCAAAACTCAGAATTTTCCCGAGAAAATTTAAGAAATTTAAGTGCATAGAAACGGTCACAATTTGTTAATAATGGCTTCCAAGTTTTTTCTTTCTTTTTTTCTCTGCATATATAAACAAAGATTATTTCGCCGGCTAAAACCTGCAGGTGTATCTTTTTTGTATCGGACAAAAAATTCTTCACCTAAAAGAAACATTCTTTGTTACAGATAGAGACCAAATCTAGTTTCTTTCTTACAATGCAAATCTTATCCTTCTTCTTCTCTTTGATTCTCTGTTTTGTTCTGATTTTCTCTGAGACTATCGAAAACGACAAGAAAGCTTTGCTTGATTTCTTGGCGACTTTCGATTCTTCGTCTCTTCTCCGCTGGAACCAGAGCTCTTCGGTTTGTGATCGCTGGACCGGAGTTACCTGCAGCGGAAAGAGAGATCGAGTTGTATCCGTTAGATTGCCTGGGATTGGATTCAACGGTACGATTCCGCCTTTTACCATTAGTCGTCTTTCGTCTCTCAAGGTTCTAAGCCTTAGAAAGAACCAATTCACCGGCGAGTTCCCTTCTGATTTCATCAATCTCAAGAACCTGACTCATCTCTACCTTCAACATAACCGCCTTTTGGGTCCATTACCAACGATTCTCTCGGATTTGAAGAATCTTAAGGTTCTTGATCTTTCTAACAATGGATTCAACGGAACCATCCCAAGTTCTCTTTCAGGTTTGACCAGCCTTAGAGTCTTGATTCTTGCAAACAATTCATTATCAGGGGAAATTCCTGATTTCGATCTTCCAAACCTGAGACAAATCGACTTGTCGAACAACAAGCTCGTCGGTACAATACCGAAATCTCTTCAAAGATTCCAAGTTTCAGCCTTTTCTGGCAACAACATAACCGAGAGGAAGAAACAACACAAGACTCCTTTCGGGTTAAGCCAGATTGCTTTCTTACTGATTCTCGCTGCAGCTTGCATTTTCGGTGTTTCCGGGATTTTCTGTATGATGATCACTTGTTTCGGGAAGGCAAGAATCTCCGGGAAGTTGCGGAAGAGAGACTCTTCTACTCCTCCAGGAAACTGGACATCTGGAGAAGGCGGCAAGATCATCTTCTTCGGAGGAAGAAACCATTCTTTTGATTTAGATGATTTGCTAAGCTCATCTGCAGAAATTTTGGGGAAGAGTGCTTTTGGCACAACCTATAAGGTTACCATTGAAGACATGAGCACGGTTGTAGTGAAACGATTGAAGGAAGTTGTCGTGGGAAGACGTGAGTTTGAGCAACAAATGGAGATCATTGGCATGATCAGACATGAGAATGTAGTTGAGCTAATGGCTTACTACTATTCAAAAGACGATAAGCTCGCTGTTTATAGCTATTACAGTCAAGGAAACCTCTTTGAGATGCTGCACGGTTAGCTACTCTTTACTGTATTTGCTCTTGTTCTGATGATTAAGCAAAACACTAAACAGAATATGTTCGATATTTTTTGCAGGAGACAGAGGAATGGATCATCGAGTACCTTTAGATTGGGATGCTAGATTGAGGATAGCAACTGGGGCAGCGAGAGGTCTGGCTAAAGTCCATGAAGCGAACAACGGGAAATTCATCCACGGGAACATCAAATCCTCAAACATCTTCATAGACTCAGAATGTTATGGCTGCATCGGCGATCTTGGCTTAGTAACCATAATGAAATCTCTTCCACAAACAACTTGTCTTACTTCGGGTTACCACGCACCTGAAATAACAGACACAAGACGAAGCACACAGTTTTCGGATGTATACAGCTTTGGGGTGGTTTTACTCGAGCTATTGACAGGGAAATCCCCGGTGAGTCCAACGGATTCAGAAACATCACCAGAGAAAAACATGGATTTAGCTAGCTGGATAAGGTCTGTGGTGGTACATGAATGGACTGGTGAAGTTTTCGATATGGAGATATTGAGTCAATCGGGTGGTTTCGAGGAAGAAATGGTCGAGATGTTGCAAATAGGATTGGCTTGTGTTGCATTGAAGCAACAAGAACGACCCCATATATCACAAGTTGTGAAATTGATTGAAGATATTCGAATCAATTGATGCAGAATCAAGAACACAACACAGAATCTAAACCATTCAAACCAATTTTTCTTCTTCTTCATAGATCATTTGTTTATTCAATTTTTTGTTTATTGAATCGATTATTTCAGAGCAAATTAAAGAACGAAACTTTGAATTATAGATTCAGTAACAAAACATAAAAAAAATCCAAATTTGGGGAAAGTAAAACACTAAAAACATTACGAAGTTTCGACGAAGAACAATCAGAGGATTCAAACGGGACTTAAGAGCTGAAAAAGCTGAGGTTTTGGATCGGAATTCATGCCGATGATGATGATCAGAGGAATGAATCCATAGTGAGTCACGATCTTCGCTTTCTTCAATGACCAATCGCTCCAATCCTTAAACATCTGAAACTTCGATGATGAAGATGATCCTTTTCCTTTGATCTTCAACGAACCCTTAGCCGCCATTGATTCCGATCTCAGAGCTTTGTGTGAAGAGTTTCAATTTCAGATTTATGCTTAAAGACAAAACCCTAAGGGTTTAAGCACTATTTAAAGTTCTGTATTTCTAAAACTCTGTTTAAGCCAGAGGTTTTCTCTAACCTTATCATTTATTTATCTTATTAATAAAAATAATTTTTTTTTTATTATCCAATTATTATTCTCTCGTTCGCTGGAAAATCGCTGGCATTTTTTTTTTCTAAAGCATAAATCCCCAAAATTTCTCGTTCTTTTTCTTCTGGTTGTCTCTCAAAGGCTCTCTCTCTCTCTTACCGAATCGTAAACCGAGTTTGTTTGAAGGATCTGTCTCTGAGGTAAGAGAAAAAGCTTATTCCTTTGTCGGAAATTAAACCTTGTTTTTGATTATCTCTGATTTCTCTTTCGTAACTGAATAATCGATCTAGGTTTTTTTTTTTGTGATTGGATCTAGGGGAAAAAAATGGCTTCGAAACGGATCTTGAAAGAGCTCAAGGATCTTCAGAAGGATCCTCCAACCTCCTGCAGTGCTGGTTAGTCTTTAGTTCTTTCTTTGTGTCTTGATTCGTTTGAGCTCTTTTTGTAGATCTAAGAAAAGAAGAGATTTTGTTTATTTAGTCTTAATCCATTACATAGTTATCTAGAGATCTTGAAGAGGTAATTGTAGCTATGTAATGATCATACTCTAGAAGATACCAATTGAAAAACTGGTCCTAAATTGGGAAAATTGCAGCTTTCTAATGACATAGTCAATATAATATAGTAGCATTTAAGAAATTGTGATTTATTTTCTACCAACCCTGTATGCCAAATTGCAACTCTCTTCCCTAGTGGTCAGGATTAATAAGATAACAATTAAAAGTTGAGATTTTTATTAGAACAAACTTCTGGGTACTGATCTTAACAATTATATTGATCATAGTCTTAGAATTAGCTTTTGTTGCCTATAACATTTGTTGCATCGTGCCTTGTTTATCGAAATACTTATAACAGATATATACAAACTTACTCCTCGCAATGAGATCCTGATTTTCTTTCTTATCCATCGTAGCACCATTTCAGATTAGAATAAAAGAAAGCTCTATTGTGTTCCCCAGTTTTGTGTTGAAAGCTGTTTAGTCTTTGTTAGTTATCGATTCCATTCGGGTGTTATACGTGTTTATTTTGTTTATTAAAATGTGAAAGTGTAGGATGAATCGGTATTGTATTGTTGGTCTCAATAGAGTCAGAGGATTATTGTAGGAGAATCTTAAGCTGCTCATGCATTGTAATTGTACTGGTAGAGAAGTCTCATGACATCGCTGTTGCGCACGGAGTATTTATGTTTTGTTGTGTGTATTTCAGTTAATGCCATGGATCATGTGTTTAAAAGACTAAACTTTTCTATTTTTTTTATCTTCTATGAACAATTGTGAAATCTTCAAGGCCCGGTTGCGGAAGACATGTTTCATTGGCAAGCTACGATAATGGGTCCATCTGAGAGTCCTTACTCTGGCGGAGTCTTTCTCGTAACCATTCACTTCCCTCCGGATTATCCTTTCAAACCACCAAAGGTAAAAACCATTTGCACCAAATTGAAATCATCAATTGGGTTCTATTAAAATTCAATTGTCCTTTTTTTCTTGCAGGTTGCATTTAGGACAAAAGTGTTTCACCCTAATGTCAACAGCAACGGAAGCATTTGCCTCGACATTTTGAAAGAACAATGGAGTCCTGCACTGACCATATCTAAGGTGATAAAAGCTCTCTTTTACTAATTGCAAAGGCGATAATAATGAATCTACTCTGATTCTAATCCAATCTACACTGTGAATTTTGTAGGTTTTGCTTTCGATATGTTCATTGTTAACGGACCCAAACCCAGATGATCCGTTGGTTCCAGAGATTGCTCACATGTACAAAACCGATCGGAACAAGTATGAGTCTACCGCAAGAAGCTGGACTCAGAAATATGCAATGGGTTAAAGTTTGATCCTTCAAGACACTCGGTTTTAACAGAGAGAGAAAGAGAGTGGACTTCTTCACATAGGGATCTTCCATGAAATAAGTTAGATTCCTATGTTTTATCCCTTGGTTCGAATGCTCTTTAATGAATGTCAAAAACTAAAAAACATTTCTTCTCCTC